CCAAACAGATTGTATTAATAAAGATACGACTCTTCTTGGCTACAAATGGATTGTTTTAGTAAGGGTACGTCTCTACTTGACGTAACAAACAGATTGTTTTAGTAAGGTTACGTCTCTACTTGGCGCACCAAACAGATTATATTAATAAAGATACGACTCTTCTTGGCTACAAATGGATTGTTTTAGCAAGGGTACGTCTCTATTTGACTATCAAATAGATCGATTTAGTAAGGGTATGTCTCTACTTGGCGTACCAAACATATTATATTAATAAAGATACGACTCTTCTTGGCTACAAATGGATTGTTTTAGTAAGGGTATGTCTCTACTTGACTACCAAACTGATCGATTTAGTAAGGGTACGTCTCTACTTGGCGTACCAAACAGATTGTTTTAGTGAGGTTACGTCTCTACTTGACTACAAACAGATTGTCTTAGTAAGGGTATGTCTCTATTTAGGGCACCAAACAGATTGTATTAGTAAGGTTACGTTTCTACTTGACGTACCAACAGATTGTTTTTGTAAGGTTATGTCGCTACTTAACTATCAAACAGATTGTTTTTGTAAGGTTATATTGCTACGTAACTATCAAACAAATTGTTTCAGTGAGTTGGTGTTTCAGTAAAGAAAAACTACCAAATGTTTGCAATGGGTTGTGCTGTGCCACAGCAGTGATCTAACCCCGAATTTTAATATTCTAAGCTTATCCCTGAGCAGGATAAAACAAAAGGAATCTCAGGAGAAGACTGAAGAAAATAGCTTGTTTTATGATTTATTGAAAGGGCGCCACTGCTGCCTTACAGCAATTAGTAATTTGCTGAAGTTTAAAGTATATTAAGTATGAGGAATAACACCTGATTTAATTTCACGTAACCACCTAGGTTTAAAAACAAGTTTAGACTGAGATATCTTACTGTATTTTATCTTAAATTCTCTTTATTACAATAAATTTCATCAGATAAGTCGTTTAGTGTCTTATTCACAGAAGCATATATCAAATTATTCAAAAATCAGTTATATTACTTTGTTAGTGTCCTTGTTTATTGATTTGTTTAGGACGGGGCTATAATACTCTGTTAGTGTTTGTTGTGTTTTCTATCTCCTTACATCTTGATAAACTTTGGATGCTTCAATATCGTTCTCATAGTTTCCGTTATGTTCTCTTCTTCCCTTCTTCTTGGCATATTTTGGACGAGCCCTTTTTCGTTCTCATAGTGTGTCTACTGGAACTGCTTGGAATGTTTAGTACAGATATGTCTGTACTTTTATTAATTTTTAGCTTGTGAGCTTTCATCAACTTCAAGCTTTTGTCACTAGTACCAAGAGATATGCCCTGCTTCGTTGTAATGTTTTTGTGGACCGGAAGGTTCCCTTTCGTAATCACAGGTTCCACTCTATGGATGAGAGTGCTCTCACAATGGCCAGTAATGAAGTATCGGAGTTTATTGTTGTTGAAGCGCTATGCGTTTCGAATTTTTAGGTTTCCATGAGAACATTAAAGACACTTTTCTTAGAAATGAAGTGTCCTTTACCTTTGAATCGTTTAAAAATGCTTGGTATATGAATATCCTTCTTTGGACATGGCTGTGAGTATGGCATATTCCTCCAGCCTTAGGTCTGTTTACCCATCAACATAGTGGGTCGAGTGTTACGCCTATTTTCTGAAGTGCCATAACTTGGATCTGCAACAATACCTCTTGTACGCAATTCACTCTCGTAAGGCACCATTAACTCTGTATATATATATATGTTTCAAACTCTTTTAAAAGTTCATCATCTGAATTTTTGTTTTTCAGTCTTTCTTCGGACGAACGTACAACAACCTATCGTCGTTAGGTGAGTGCAAAAACAACGGCCAGTGTATCATCACTAAGAAAAATCGAACTTCCTGTAAAAGTTGCCGTCTTAAGAAGTGCCTCATGGTTGGAATGTCAAAAAGCGGTACGTTACGTCACAATTTTCAACCGTTCAGCCATCTTCGACTTCGAGCAAAATTAGATTAAAACAAGAGAAGTAATTTAAACAACCAATACCTGCATGTGCAACACTCAAATTTCCTCGTAGAGGTCGACCGGAAGCTTAATTATGTTTAGAGGGGTGACAGAGTGATATTAATCACACCACAAATGACTTCTCGCGTCACGCGAACCACTTTTAACTGCGTTTTTTGTTGTTGTTTTTTTTTTGGGGGAGGTATATCTAAAGCATAATAAATATCACCCAATAAAATAATTATTGGTAATGATAGGGTTTTAAGATAAATGTGGTCTAATTGGTTTTCAATGTAAACAAAGTAAAGTACTTCGTAAGTGAGTGCTGCAGTCCAACTCGCTTTTCTCTGTAGAGCTGTCTTCTCTCTAATTTATCAGTTCAAAACCAGGAAAGACTATAGCACAGATAGCCCTCTATTAGCTTTGCGCGAAATTCAACAAACAAAGGTATTTGAGTACTAAAGATAATAGCCCAACTTGGGTGGTCAATGTCGTGAATACCTTTACTGTGGACATGTTTTTTGTTTGTTTGTTTTTTTCAAACAGTTGTATGCGTGTATTTGAATTTGCTTGTTTTAAAAAAAGCCACATTGGACTATCTACTGTGTCCACTGCGGGAAGGTGACTCCCATATTTTAATGCTGTAAGTGCGTAACTTACCGCTGTCCCATTGGTGGACATTTGAATTTAGAATTTTTGTTAATTTGAATAATGCCTGCTCCTATTGGCTGAAGCGTCACAATTTTAAATTGGTTAAAAACATTTCCACTGCAATGCTTTCCTGAATTGTTATAGGTAGTTTTAAACGATTAAACAATTGATATGAATAAGCTTGCTTCATAATTCCTTTTGTAATTTATCTCTAGAATTCTGAATTTTTGTTACAGTGTAAGTATTTTTAGCTATTGTTTGTATCTGATGGATGGATCGTTTACATACAGGATCCCGCTATGGACGCCGATCCAACTGGTTCAAGATCCATTGTTTAATCCAAGACCGAGCTGAAACGAACGAACAACTCCGTTACGAAAACAAAGACATCAAATCAGAGTACAGAGAAAGCACGTCACTCATATCATCCAATGGGGTGACGCAATCTAGTTACGTCAATGAAGCAGTAAAATCTTATATCCCTTACGATACTAAATTGTCACCCAGCAGTTTTAGAAACCGCGAATCTTCAAAAAATTCATATGAACGTAAGGAAAACATTGGTCACCAACTTCTTACATTGCCTCACGTTTCTCCTGTGTCTTCTCTAAATTCCAATAAATTTTTATTTCACTGTAATAATGGTGCTTTTATAACTAAAACAAGAAAACTCTGGAACATGAACGTCAATTATACCCACTCTCCACGGTTTCATGCCGAGAACAATATTTATCCGGTGGTGAAATCGCCAAAAGAGGGCTGGCCAGTTGTCAGGGACCACGGGACAGATATGCCTGAGCAGGAAACGCCTATTGATTTAACAGTAAAAAAATCTTCATCTTCACCAATTACAAGCCACAGCTTTCTTCTTATTGATCAACGAAGCCCTTCAGACTCAACAGAAAGTTCACCAAATATGAATGCAGTAGAATCACCGTTAGATCTTACGAGGAAAATTTGTTAATGTGTTCCTTCTGGTGGCGAGATATTTTGTGCCAGTTAACGTTTCTAAAGTACCACAACTGTGCTTATATAGAGGAATCTTTGTAGGGGTTATACGGCACTGAAAAAAGACAAGAAGGATTGTTAAAAGTCTATAGTACTGTTCAACATGACCTTGTTGTTAGTATTTTGTGGTATTCTTACGAGTATGTAATAAATACGTCACGGTTTACCATTACGGGTTAGATTCGAATGTGATGCAAGTTATAAGAATATTTTTTCCTATCCACTTCACATGATGACGCAAAGGCCAGTATCCATTCCGATCACTGTCTCTCATTTATTATGTTATTATTAAGCTCAGTGTAAGTGTTAACAGGAACATGTTCTTAAACCCTTGTGCCTGATGCATTAATTTAAATTATTTTTTTCTAAAGAACTGACAATTATTATAAAAATACAAAATATGAAATTATGTAACTATTTTTTTCCACCTTTATGAAATTATCATACTGTTACGTATCTGCTTGTTTGTTAATTTCCAGTATAAATTCTTTCTGAGAAACTTCAGCGATACAAGTCACTTTAAACTTAACAACATTTATAACACACGCTATAAATCACAGTGATTCACATACTTTACTTACTGTAACTACTGTTCGCTTGACTCAATTATCTTTCTATATCTATCTCTTCAATGCTGCTGGTTTTTCTCGCCCCGCTTATATACTAAAAAAGAGGGCGTCCTGAACGAACTCGGTCTTCCCCGATAATTCATGATCCTTCGAGAAACTCCAGCGCGCATGCTCCCAGTGTCGCGTGACTTCCGCTGTCGTAACAATACTTTCATGTTTATGTTTTTGGGGAGAATGTTTGTTTTGTTTTCAGTTACGTTTTAATACAAATAACACTGTTGTATTTTTATGATATGCCTAGCACGTTTTTTGTTTTTGTTTTTTTATTGACCAAAATTTAAAGACAAAAAAGTGCTCTTAAATAGTATTTATTTCTAGTGATATTCAAGAAAAAGGGAGTTAGATATTTTAAATAAATATAATTAAAGTGTACGGTAATAAATAAGAAAATATTTAATTCAAAACGTGTGAGTATTATGCAAATAGCCATTCTAATATTTACATGTAATTAAGTGACACAAACAATAAAGCTCGCCTTCTAATAGAGACACTTTAATGTGACGTCACTTATTGATTAAAATACTATTATTTGTAACGTTAGTGTTATAAAATAAAACGTTTTTGTAATGTAAAGACCCTTATACAGCAGCTGTTTTTGACGTCATAACCAGTAGATGTGACGTCATCGTGATATGCCATTTTTTGAGCGTATATCATCAAGTTGTGTGATTTTATGTGTTGTTCGATATACAAATTACTGGTGCTTGCTGCAATAACTGAATTGCGTGTTCTTAATCAAGTTTATGGCTCAACGATCTGGTTATTGCTGACAATTTTTGTTGTTGTTTCCTTCTTTAAAATACATTTATTCTAGGACTCTACTGGTTTACCTGTAATGTTTGAAACGTAAGCCTAAACATAAAAGTTTTGGAACGATCCAGTGCTACCTGTTTAAGTAAACGAGGCTTAACTTACGTTAGAGTTTAAATACATAAAGTGTGCTTGTTTTAATTAGTGTATTTTGTTTAATTTATTCGTTTTGTCGTGGTGTAACTTGTTATTTTTCGAAATCTTGGAAATAAATAATCGTTTAATTCTATTCTTTCACAGAAATTTTGTAACGTGTTTATCATTTCTTGTTAACTTTTGTAAATATTAACGTTAAAAGTACTTTACGATCTTTCTACAGAAACCCTTTGTGTTCACGTTGTAATTGTATGTTTTTGTATATATATGTGTTACTTTAAATGTTAAGTTTTCACTCTCCTTTATAAAAAAATAAATTGTTATATATTGTAAATTTTTCAACGTTGATAATTGTTACTGCTGGTGATATTTGTCTCTTATAATAAACACGATATTTTTTCAACTGTTTCCTGCTTCTAATTACAAGGCTGGAGTATTTCTGTACTTTACATTTTATAAAATGTTCCAAATGATGACTCATTCTTCAATTGAACATTTGCTTTTTCTTCACCTGCATTAGATTTTCATTTATTCTCCTTATCGTATTTCATTTGTATTGTCTCCTTGCATAAAACGTGTTTTACCCTGCTAACATAACGTGACGACGTTTCTATAAAATGTGTTCCCATAAGCAAACAGAACGCGACGACGTTTCTATAAAATGCGTTCTGATAAGCAAGCAGAACGCAACGACGCTTATATAAAATGTGTTCCAATAAGCAAACAGAACGTGACGACGTTTATATAAAATGCGTTCTAATAAGCAAACAGAACGCGACGACGTTTCTATATAATTTATACTCTAACGACCACACAGAATGTGAGTACCTATTAAAAGACACAGTAGGGCGACGTTAAAATCACACAATATAAATACTTTAACATTTTTTATTGAAGGTCTAGGCCTTGCATAGATATATCTACATGCTTCAGTGGGTCTGTGACCCACTGTCATAAGAAAAGACGGGCTTGGCATGGCCTGATGGTTAGGGCGCTCAACTGGCATGCTCGCGCTTTCAGGTGTGTGGAAGTTATAATGTGACGGTCAATCCCACTATTCGTTGGTAAAAGAATAAAGAGTAATCCAAGAGTTGGCGGTAAGTGGTGTTGACTAGCTGCCTTCCCTCTAGTCTATCACTGCTAAATTAGGGACAGCTAGCGCAGATAACCTTCGAGTAGCTTTGCGCGAAATTTAAAACAAACAAATCAGAAAGGATACAGCAGTGAAAAATTATCATCTAATGTTTAAATACCGTTCCAATCTTGAATAATACAAAAACTTCGACCACACAATTAGCATAAACGGTGCTGCCACCTATTTATCTCTCATTTGAAATAGATTTCCAAAATAAATGTGTGCAACCCCTGGACCCAAATCTCTAATTTGAAGTTAACTTCAAATTTTTAAATATTTCTAATGATTCTATTATAGTTAGTTCATGTTCATTATTATAATTTTAAATAGTTAACGTTTTCGTTTGGATTAACACTAGAATGAGGAATTTTCACTAAATGTTTAGCTAATACAGATTCATCAATTTTCCGTTTTTCTATAGCAGAGTTTTGTTCATTAAGTCTAATTTTCAAAGGTGCACAAAGATCGGCCAATATACGATAAGAGTAGCCCAAGAGTTGGTGGTGAGTGGAGTTGACTAGCTACCTTCCCTCTAGTCTATCACTTCTAAATTAGGAACGGCTAGCCTCTTGAGTAGATTTGAACGAAATCCAACAAATAAAAAATGGCCCCCTCCCTAATGGATAAAAGATGAAGTTGTACATATCACGCAGCAGAATGTGGAGCAATCACCTCTAGGTAAATGCCAAGAATGTGTACGACTTCTCTCACAATATCTCAGTCTGGAGTTCCTGGATAAGGTTATTCATGTTCTCAGAGAATTTCAATGTGGAGATAAGAAGCTATATTCTACCTTTTCTCAGTCTAGAATTCCTGAATAAAGTTATCTATGTTCTCGGGCGATTTCAGCTGCACAGATAAGCTTCGTTCCAGGACAGTGTTTTGAAGCACTTGCACGTTTCGTATATTCTACCAACTTTGTACACATGAATCGATTCATTGTTCTTATTAAAAAGTTGAGATTATATCTTTACATTATTACAGTTTAAACATCATACTAAACAGTGAAATAAGTTTCCAGGTTTACGTTTGAATATTTGTCCATTCTATTGAATTTTTTATCAAACACGAACTTGTTCAGCTGTAGTAATACATAAATCGGTTACGTTAACTTGTTCAACTTTTAACAGAAAACACGGTTATATTAACTTGTTCAATTTTTAACAGAAAACACGGTTACATTAACTTGTTCAATTTTTAACCGATAACACGGTTATATTAACTTGTTCAGTTTTTTACAGCTAATACAATTAGGCTAACTTCTCCAGTGTTTGACGCATAATACGGTTACACTAACTTTTCAATTTTTAACAAAAAATACGAATATGCTAACTTGTCCTGTTTTTAACAAATATCTAACAACAGTTTTCCAATATTATTCTATTACAAGTTACAACTTTTACAGTAAGGAAAAATATTTTAAAAAATAGGTATGACGTTTTGGTTACTGGTGCGATCATTCTGCAAACTGAAAAACTCTATAAACAGGGGTCGTTTATTTATATTTTTAAGCAAATACTCGAATTTTAAAATTCTTATTGGACTTACTAAGTGATATTGAATTGCAATTAGTAAATTGCTCGGTTTAATTTTATACTTACCCCACGAAAAAAATAGCTAGAATAATTTTTCTGGCACAAAAAACATCGCTCATAAACTTTTGGTAAAACTGAAATTATATGTATAATTCAAGGCACACAGGGGACAGTTTCTTCATAGACAATTACTCCTATTTATATAGAAAAGAAACAGATGTCGATATAAATAGTTAGTACAATGGTACTTGACAGCAGTGAATAGAAACTTTAAAATGAAAATAACCCAACAAAATACCTGTGTTTTGTATATATTGGTTAACAATTACCTTAATATTATGTTTTGGCAACAATTAATTTTTTATATGTTTTATCTATCGTGATTTTGAAACAACAGCATATTATCACAACATTCACGCAATTGTTACAAACACTGATTATGAAGGTTAAACTGTTTAAAAAAATAAGTAAACTGCAAATCTGTGTTTGTTTGTTTTAGATGTCATACTTCATATATAAAAAAGCCCGGCATGGCCAGGTGGTTAGGGCACTTAACTCGCAATCTGAGGGTCGCGGGTTCGAATCTCCGTCCCACCAAACATGCTCGCCATTTTAATGGGGGCGTTATAATGTGACGGTCAATCCCA